ACACACAGCATGTACACAGCATATACACACAATGTACACATCGTATATATACTAACAGTATACACATTGTATATACACTATACACACAGTACACATAGATGGACGGTCAGCCGATAGATAACACTGGACCTCTGGCCTGCAGGGGCAGTGGCACACCTGAGGCAAAGTCAAACATGACCGCGCGCGCCCTGGAGCTCTCCCTGCAGTACAGCTTCGTAACGCCCCTCACCTCCATGGTGGTCACTAAGCCACAGGAGGACGACGACAAGGACACCCTGATAGCCGACAAGCTGACCGAAGGTACGAGCCTGTTTCACCGCTGACCAGGTGACAGTGACCGAAAAACGGTTTCAGATCCAGTTTTGTCCTTGATATCTATGATAATTGCTGAACCACGGGACTGACCGGCCTCAGACGTTAAAGCCCCCTGGACAGTGGCAGGGACTGACCAACCTGGTCTGAAGGAAGTGTCTTTTGTGCTTTTTTCCAGAGGAACGAGGACAGCGCAGACCTTCAGGCTTCGGTAAGGCTTCCTGTTCCTGAGACCAGAGGCTGCTTCTCTCTAGGACTTGAACCCTCTCTGTGCCCGAGCTGGGTGCAGACTGGGGCTCCTCGGGTCAGCCTGGGGTCGGGGGGTGACCAGATCCACAGGCCTCCAGGTCGTGGCCAAAAAGAGGGACCTGCGTTCGGGACCACTGCAATGGAATTTGGATTTTTTTTCCTGTCTGTTTCTGTTTTCCAATCAATCAATCAACCAACCAATCAATCAGTCAGTCAGTCGGTTGGTCCGTGATTCAGTCAGTTGGTTGATTGTTCAGTCGGCCAGTTGGTTGGTCAGTCGGTCAGTCAGTCGGTCAGTAAGTCAGTCGGTCAGTCACTTGGTCACTCGGTGAGTAAGTCGGCCAGTTGGTCATCCGGTCAGTGCCCAGTTCCAGTGCGCCAGTCTGCCTTGTGACCGCTGGGCTGGGGGAGCCTGCTGAGAGACGTGGGTGTGAGAGGCAGTTCCACGCGTGTGTGGTGCTGGGGGCTTTGGGGTTGGTGATTCTGGGGCATGCCATCCCACTGTGATCCTCACCTCCCTCCTCTCCCTCCTCTCCCTCCTCTCCCTCCTCTCCCTCTTCCCACTGCAGTGCCGCTCCTGCAAGGCTCACCCCTCACGAGCAGGACCTTTCTGACTGGTAATGACGGGGAGCCAGTGCCAGGCTGGTGTTCTCGTGCCAAGGCACAGGGGTCCCCCCATTCGCTCTGACTTTCACATCCCACCCCTCCGGTGCAAAGCGCGGTCATGTGGGGAAGGCAGGAGTCGGGGTTCGGACGAGTCTCCCCAGAAACCCCTTTCCCTTCGCGGGCCAGTGCCGCAGAGACGCGTACAAACACTTCTAAAGACAGGACATGGATGTGATCTCCCAGAAGCACCAGGTCTCGGGACCATAGCACCCCACTGCTTTCCGGGAGTGCACAGGCTTTGTAGTGCAGGCCTGTCAGTCAGAGTCAGTGGCTGTACCTTTCCGACACGGTGGCCACCCCCCAGTGGAAGGCGCTGGGATGAGGGGCTCAGTGCCGCTCGACAGACAGGAAGCAGCCTGACACCCCTGTGCTGTTTCTGCTTCCAGGTTACACCGCGTCTCGGGTCCAGAACGTGTACCACGCCCTTCCGCCGGTCACCAGCGGTAAGCTGCTCGCCGCCCCGCCTGCCGGGGCGCCCCCAGAGCTGCAGATTCAGGGGGTGCTCGTGTGAGTGTGTCAGCCGGCAGGAAGTGAGGGCTCACACGCGACCTGCGCTCACCCGGCCTGTGGTTTGTGTCTCCCCAGTGGACGGGGACCCGCATTTCATCATCTGGGTACCCCAGCAGAACGACACCCTGTGTTTCAACATTGACGAGAGGCCGGGGGTCATCTTCAGCC